GATTTGTGGTTGGATTTTGGAGGATTTGAATATTGTTTCTTCCTTTTTTCGAGTATTTTTAGGAGAGAGAAAGGGGGGAGAAAATATCTTTGGGTTTGGAAACGAGAAAATTAGATGAATTGGAAATTTTAAATAATTTTTAAAATTTTTAGATTTTCCCCTCTTCTTATATTTCGAGGCAATATAATTATTTTCGACAGTATTAAGAATTTATTATTTCAAATTTGTTGTTATTTGAAAGAATATCGAGTAAAATAATTATTGTGAAAGCGAATTTTACGAAACAATTTGAAGAAGTATTCATCAATTTTCTTCTGAAACGCATAAAAGTAAAAATTTTCACGAAAGTACGAGATGCATTTACATTTAATGTTTGAAAAATATTACAAGGGGAAATATCGGAGGGGGGGAGGGGAAGTTATTTCAACAGTTCCAAGGGAACGATTTTCAAGGAAACAAATGGAAAAGAGGAACTAATAGGCCCAAGAGATTTTGTAATAATATTGTCCCTACGTATAAACGCTTATCAGTCCTTTTACCATTTTATGTTTTGAAGATACGATAAAATTAGCGTCAATAGTGGGCACCAGGAGGCGCGTAAATATTCGATTCTGCCATTTCCTTTTGTTCATTCGTGATTCTTTATCTGTTCCACCATCGTCGAAATCATCGAAACGAAATTTCACGATCGTCATTAAATCTTTCTGCAAAATTTCACGCGAAATATTTCCCTCCCTCCATATATTTCCAGGCAATATAATTATTTTCGATAATATTAAGAATTTATTATTTCAAATTTGTTATCAAACATTCGAAATAATATCGAGTAAAATAATTATTGAACGCTTTCAAATATTATGTGTATCGATGCAGTTTAAACGCCGCCCCGAAATTTAGTTAAAGTTATAGCATAAGTTAAAATTAAATTGTAAATTATGTTGGCGATATTCCCGTGTTTAACTCGAAGAGTATTAGTTTAATTTCATAGAATATTAAAATATTCTCTCTTGCGCGTATAACACCGTCATTGAAATATTAAATTGGAAACATTTGATTCTTTGAAAAATTATCCCTGGCTAATGTATCCATATGAATAAAATTAAAAAATTTCTGCAACAGTTAATCGTCGACTTGAAAATACCATTTATTTAATGCAATTGAAGAATCATCGAATTAATATTTCTCATATATAAGCATATTAAAAAATATTACTTCGTTCAATAATAATCTTTTTTTTTTTCTTTTTACAATAAATACTTTCAATCAATACTTTCTCTTCAAGGAATCGAAAAATAACTTTATTTTCTCTATCTTATTTGCAAAGCGTAATTGGAAAATTTCTATAATCCTAATAATAAATTAACAAGAAATCATATATCGTACGATGATTAATATCGATTTCAAAATTATCGATCCATCTTTCTTCCACGACTTATAAATCTGACTTATTTTTTCTCTTTCCTTCTTGGGATGGGGAATTGAAAAATTATTCAGCGCGAAGGGCGGTGTGTCACACCGAGACCGGCCTCAGAAGGTTTTTAAACCACTTCCTTTACGGTTTGGCGACTTCATTTTCTCGGTTCAGGCGTTGCGAATCTCTTACGCCACTTCCGAAAGAGCCGGCCGCGGCGCGGTCGCCGTGAAAATTGCTCTTAGAAAAATCCCTCAGCCACGAGCCGCGCTCGAGGACCCGATTTCCCACGAACGGAACAGCTGTTAATGTTTGCCAACTTTCCTCCACGAGTCACGACACGTTACGTGGGAAACGCTTACGAAAAAATATTTGTACACGGTGTTATTAAAAACTCGGGAAAAACTGAAGTTTTTCTTTGCACCTTTCGTAGTGATATATTTTTCAACAACGTTTTAATCGTGTTGTTAAATTTTCCATGTGAAAAGGGAGGAAAGGAGGAAGAAAAGAGTATTTAGGGAGAATCAA